AATTTTTGTGGAACAACCATAGAACAGGAACCAGGAAGCCCAGGCTGCCCTCTACTGGTAATTTCTGGGAATGACCACAGCACAGGCACACAGGGCCAACCAGGAGCGGATACACCTCCTGCCAGGGGGAAGGTGTGATGGAGGCCTCCTGGTGCGAGGTTGGGAGCATCCCTACGGATGTCAGCAGGCTCCTCCCTTTCTGCCTGGCCTGCAGAGGGGCCTGGGCAAGGGGGTCCTCTGCGCTCACTTCAAAGGCAAGGAGAAGAATTTGTTCCCAGACTTGCAGCGGATTTGCTCAGCATGCACACGCAGCAGCAGCTCAGAGTCTTCAAACTCATCCACAATTTCCTTAAACCAAGAACGAGGAAAGGACAGTCGTCACATTAAGGGAATCAGGGACCCAGATGACACTGCAAACAAAACCAGTCTATGGGAATCCTTCAGAGGCTAGGCAAGGAGGAGGGGAGACCAAGGGCCACACAGGCTCCAGGCTCTGCACTTCGTTACCTTGTCTAATAGGCTCTGCAATCTAATGAGGTCAGTCCTAGCATCCTAGCTTTACAGATAAGATGCTCAGAGCCCTGGGTTACAGAAACCACTAAAACCAGGCTTGGGACCCGGCCCTGCCGAGGAGCCCGAAGCCAGGGTCCTTTGCGCGCCACACTGCTGCCGCCTCCAGTGTGGTCAGGCTGAGCGCAACGGTGGCCACTTGATGACAGATGGTCTGTGGGCTTTGTCTAGCCTGCACATCTCGCTTTACTTCAAAATGCTTTTTAAAAATTAAGATTAGTTGCCAACATTTGAAAATAGGCAGATTACACATAAAAATCTGGACTTCTAGATTCTGCTGAAAAACACCAGGTCTGCGTTCCTGCGCAGCCACAGTTCCCGCAGTCTCCCCGTCTCCCCTGCAGAGGCGGAGTTTCAGCCACCACTCTCTACAGCACCTGCACAGCTGCTTCTCTTCTAAAGCCACTGACACGAAAGTGCACTATTTCATCTCGTCATCAAAGTGTGAGATAGGCTGCGAGGGCTGGCACGTTTCACTCATTTCCAATCCCTGCCAGGCCCCTGTGGGCACCCAAGCTTTTGACGTCTGGATGAGAGGCCAGGACTTGGGGAGGCCTGCAGCATCCTCTCAGAGCAGTGTTCTAGGGCAGTGCTTCTCTCCTGGGGGGCTTCTTAAAATGTCACTCTGACTTGTTCGGTCTGGGGTGGGAACAGAGTCTGTATTGCTAATGAGCTCCCAGATGATAGGGGCACTTCAGGTCCGGGGACCACACTTGGAGTAGCGAGGTAAGGTGTTAAGGTCTCCTGTGATGTCGTTCTATGGCTGCTAACCAAAAGGTCGGCAGTTCGAATCCATCAGCTGCTCCCTGGAAACCGTGTGGGGCAGTTCTACTCTGTACTATAGGGTCACTATGAGTCAGAATCAACTCAACGGCAATGGGACAGATGATGTCATTAGTTTTCCAGGGATTCTGGTTTGGATTCCTAATCCTCAAGGCCGATCGGCTGCCCTCCCCCTCCTCTCCAGCATGCATCCCATTGCTGCCGGAATCCAGCACCCTCTGGGCTCCCACACTGGGATTTCACCTGCAGGTCGCGCAGGCACTGTCCCTCCAGCTGGGGACGTGCATCGCCCACACACCAGGCCAGGCTGACATGGAATGACGGGTCCTGGAGAGGAACACCAAAGAGACAGGCCGTCACCCAGATACCCCTGGAGAGGCCAGGAGACAGAGGCAGGTCTGTGACAGGCCTGTCATGGTGTCCCTGCTGGATCCCTGGCCTGCTCCATGGGTGACTAGACTCCCATCCCCCAAGCACTTCCAAGCACCCCCCCATAGACAGACCAAATAGCCCTGGGTCGGTCCTTTCTTCAGAGGCATTCCTTTATTATCACAGAGAGAGCCATTAAATTTGGGGGCATGAAAGAGAACCCAGGCTCCAACTCTATTTCCTGATCTCAAACAATCTAACAGATGCCATACTTCTCAAGACTAAATGAACAAAAACGAAAATGTCTAAAATTAGGAAGAAATGATAATTATCTCCATTCAAATTCATACTTACATATTATCTCAGCATGGTTTTAAAAAAAATGTATCATGTAAAACCAATGGCCCTTTAAGACCCTGATGCTCAACTTGGGGTTCAAATGCTCGTAGAGGGCAGTGGACAAGGTGCAGGAAGGTACCTGAAGCTACAACTCTTCCTGGAGTGTTGAGTTTATTAAACAGTATCAGGGAAAACTACTCTTTAAAACATATAAAAACAAACATGAATACGTTATGGAGTAGAATACACAAATCCTGTACCTATTTAAGATCGAACACAAGAGTCCTAAGAAATGTTAGACTTTGGGTGGGTTGCATCAGACCACACCTCAGACCCCTCAACTCCCCGGGGATGTGTGTCCTCTCAAGGCGGGCATTTGCAATACTTCATGTGGGGAAAATTCTAGAGGGCTCTTTAGTTTGCCTCTAACAAGGGCCTCAGGATGGTTTTACTCCAGTTACAGATGGGCCAATGGAGAAGAGAATGCCCCATTCATTACCTTGTAGAAAGTGGTGAGGTCGAATTCCTCCATAACTCTGTCCACCTCTGAAACCAGGTTGAGGAACTGGGCATGCCCTGAGGTGACCTCGAGCCCAACAAAGGTCCTGGGGGGAGGCAGAAGTAGAGATAACACGGACATGAGACGCAGCCTCTGAGAACACAGACCATCAAACTGGGGCAGAGGACGCGACAGACAAGAAACCTAGAGGTCTGGCCATGAGTTCTGACCTCAACTCCCCGGTAAGTGCGCTTTCCAGATCTGTGAGCTGACTCTTTCTTCTTTGGTAAGGATTCCAGTTTCCCCACATCCTCGCCAACATGTGTTATTTTCAGGTTTTTTTTTTTAAATTTTATTTATTTTGTTGCTGTTGTTGAGAATATGCACAGCAAAACATACACCAATTCAATGCTCTCTACGTGTACTATTTAGTGACACTGATTACATTCTTGGAGTTGTGCAACCATTCTCATCCTCCTTCTCTGAGTTGTTCCTCTCCCATTAACATAAATTCACTGCCCTCTAAGGTTCCTAGCTAATATTTCAAGTTGCTGTTGTCAATTTGATCCCATAGAGATAGTTCTTAAAAGAGCTTAATGCTCAAGGTAGACATTTTTTACTAGCTAAGCTAAACTATTGTTTGGTTTTAAGAAGACTTCAGGGGATGTTTCTGGTTTAAGGTTTAAAAGATTATCTCAGGGCAATAGTTTCAGGGGTTCAATCACTTTCATGGCTCCAGGAAGCCTGGAGTCCACGAGAATTTGAAATTCTGTTCTGCATTACCCCCTCTTTGATCAGGATTCCTCTATAGAATCTTTGATCAAAATTCTGAGCTGACTCTTATTCCTCCACCTCCAGCTTCAAGCCCTCCTTCTCTAATTGTAACTACATCTTCCCTCCCTCCCTCCTCAAAGTCTAACAACCTCCTAGGAACGCCTTCATCTGCCAACCTAGAAGCTTCTGCAACCATGGTCTCCATCATCACTCCTGTTGCAGCCAACCCCTATGCTCTGGACCTTTCTCAAGGACGTTCCTCTCTGGTATCAGCTACCCCTCCCGTAAGCACACAGACATGCTGTACATCTCATCTTTTAAAACCTTCTCTTGAACTCGTAGCTTCAGCCAGCCCCCATTCCATTTTCGGTAAAATGTCTGATAAAGATTCGTCTACCTTGACCGTCTCTACTTCTTCACCTCTTATCTTCAACCCACTTTGCCAAAACCGCTCGTCAAAGTTGCCAATGGGTTCCATATTACCAAATTCAACTATCTATATCTTAACTGGTCAGCATCTGACACAGCTGACCACTCCCTCCTCAAAACCCTTTCTCACTTGGCTTCCAAGACATTACCCACTAGACATTCCTAGTTTGAATTTCCCTCTGGCCTCCTTGTTCAGTCTCCTTTGCTGCCCTCTCTTCTTTCCAACCTCTAAATGGTGGAGGGATGCAGAGCTCAATCCTCAGCCCTCTTATCTTTTCTACCTGTACTTTCCTGCAAGCTTATCTTACCCAGTCCCCACTTTAAATACCACATAGACGATGACTCCCAAAATTCTATCTCCAGCTGGCACCTGTCTGTATATCTAACTGTGTATGTGACATTTCCACCTGGGAGTGTAGCATTTACTACCTGTGGCCTAACAGGGAGTAAAACCTAACATGTATAAAGCAGAACTTTTGCTTCTCATTCCACCAGTGTTTTTGATCACAGAAAATGGGACACTGGTCATCCAGTTGTTCACACCAAAAACCCAGAAATTTACTATCCAAATCCAACCCATTGTTAATTCCAGTTGATTCTACCTCCAGTGTTATCTCCAATGTGTCCACTTTTCAGCTTCTTCACTGTCATCACCCTAGTCCAGACCACCACTGTTCCCTGACCTGGACAACTACAAATGCCTCCTCACTGGTCTCCCTGTCTACACCTGCTTTCTTAAACCTTTTCTCCAGACTCATTAGCAGATACAGATACAATCTAGCCAGACTGAACATTTATAAACTTAAATCAGATCATGTCTAAATTTATGTTCGAATCCCTCCAATGGCTTCCATTACATTGAGTCCAAACTCCTTACCTTGGTCTCAAAGGTGCTGCATGAGCTAACCCTGCCCACGCACCTCTTGCCACTCTCCCCAGGTTCCACCCCACCGCTCTCCTCAAACATGCCAAGCTCTAGCCTGCCTTGAAGTCCCTTTCTTTGCTGTGTCCTCTGTGTGGAAGGCTCCTGCAGCAGCTCTTCCCAAGGCTGGCTCCTCCTCACCCTCAGGTTGCCATCAAATGCCGCCTTCCTGGTGCCCTCCTTGGCCATCCACTTCTGTTCTATCATGCTATAATGATCTCACTTACTTGTTTATTATCTGTCTCCCCTGCAGAGTGTAGGATCTCTAAGAGCAGGACTGCGTCTATCTTGTTCGCTGCTGAATCTTTGGCATACAAGTGCCTGGCACAGAGTTGGTGCTTCATAAATGTGTGCAGAATAGAATGAGTGAATGAATGAGCCTCCTTTCAGAGCGCTGAGAGGAAGAGACGGGGCTCACTGAGTGGATGAGACACGGAGGCTCACTTTGAAGCCTTGATAATAATTCCTTCTTATGTTCATCTAATACTTTAATATTTTTGACTTTTTCAAAACTCGCTCAGCTCATTTGAGCCTCATCACCACTCAGTGATAGCCAGATCAAGGCAAGGCCTCTGACAGCATGGAAGTGGAAGGTCATGGAGGGGAAGAGATAAGCCAAATGTCACAACTGAGGCAGGGCTGGCGCAGGAATCCAGGTTCTCTTTCAGTCCCAGAGATTTTTTTCACTATAGCAAGATGGTTTTCTCAACTTCCGCCTACCCTAGAAACCTCCCCTAGTGATTTCTCTTAATGAAAGGAAGGGTTCTGATGAGCGAACAGCTGCCTCTGTAGTCATGTTGTTGTGTGCCGTCGAGTCGATTCTGACTCATAGCAACCCTACAGGAAAGAGCAGAACTGCCCCATAGGGTTTCCAACGCTGTCATCTTTATGGGGAGTCCTGGTGGTGCAGTGGTTAAGCATCTGGTTGCTAAGCAAAAAGGTCGGCAGTTTGAATTCACCAGCTACTCCTTGGAAATCCTATGGGGCAGTTCTACTCTGTTCCATAGGGCTGCTGTGAGTTTGGTAATCTTTATGGAGGAGGCCTGGTGGCGCAGTGGTAAGCACTCAGCTGCTAAACAAAAGGTTGGTGGTTTGAACCCATCAGCTGCTCCACAGGAAAAAGATGTAGCAGTTTGCTTCTGTAAAGAACAGCTCTACTCTGTCCTAAATAGGGTCACTATTAGTCAGAATTGACTTGACAGCAACGGGTTTGGTTTTTTAGTTTAATCTCTATGGGAGCAGACCGCCAGGTCTTTTCTACTGCTGAGCTGCTTGTAGGTTCGAATCACTGACCTTCTAGTTAGCAAGGAGCACTTAATCATTCTGCCACCAGGGCTCCTTTTTGGAGTCATAGAGTTGATTAAGAGACAAACAAACAGCGGGACAGGCAAGGTCAGGAGCAAAGCACCCCCTCAACCTTTGCACTAAAGAATCTTCTTCTGGAAGTGGTGGGGGGTGGGAGATTAGGGGGACACCCACCTGGTTTTCTCTTGATTGGTATAAATCTTTACCCGGTTGGCAGTAAAGAAGAATCTGAAATTTAGAAGAAGAAAAAAGGCCACATTTCTGGAAGACTAATAATTTAAAAAAAAAAAACAAAAAACTTTAAGTTAATAAACAGCACTTTGAAAATATAGTCAATTCTTGTTTCACACTTAGTTGCCCCCCTATCACATAGGTGGTAAATTGAGGCAAAGAAAGAGAACCCTAAAATATTAGAGTCGGACAAGACCCTAAAATCACCCAGTCCAAACAACACCCAGCACCATCCAGATGCTGGTATGAATTCTACTTTGTTAATAGCAGTTCATTCTACTAAACAATTTGAGACTATCTCAACTTTACTGATGGGAACTGAGAAAGTCTTATTCATCAAGTAGGTGATAACAGATTACTTAAGGGCCAGTTTTTTCCTTATAGGTTAAAAAAAGCCAACTGCAATCTAGGCTAAGCAATAACAAGTACTCTTCCCATTTGTCAGGAATTGAGCTAAGGGCTGTGTGCACATCAGTTCATGGAATCCTCGTACAACTCTGTGAGGAGGGCATTCTAATTTATGTCCATTTTACAGACAAGGAAAGTGAAGCTTGGTGAGGCTGAATACTTTGCCCAAGATTACCCAGCTCCTAAGGGAGACAGCCAGGATGTGAACCTCAGTGAGCCTGATTCCAAAGCCCCTGCCCTCCCCTTCAGTGCTTTAGTGAGGGGACGGGAGGAGGGTCTCTGCTGGTATTGGAGATGAGGGTGGCTTCCTGTCATTGTGGGGAAAGCCCGCTTGGGAATGAAGCCAGCACAGGGGGGAGGCAGAGCTGAGAGACGGGGAGAGTCAGATGCCATCCGACATCTTCTGGTCACCTGAATCCACCCATGCAAGAAGCCAGTGCTGCCTCTGAAAGCTTTGGTTGACACCAGCCTATAAATTCCCTTTGGGTTTAAACCACCCACTTTGAGTTGGGTTCTGGGCACTTGCGATCAGGAGTCCTGACTAATATACATGTGACTCAGTAAATTTGACAGTGACAACCAAAACAAGGCAGGGGGTGTGGGACTAGACTAGGTCTGGAGATCAGTTTTAGCCTTTATTATCTGGCTGACTGACTGAAGGAGCAAACCCTTCCCTCCTCTGGACCTCAAAAGATGTTAAACTAAATCTGCAGTTTTCTAATTGGGCTGAGTAGTTCTATGGAATCTGTGGGACCTAAGGTCTCTTGAAGTGCAAGGGTGGGGCTTTGGCTAAAATGGTTCTGCTTTCATCAGTCTTACCCATTCGGCTTTTCTGTAACACCTCCTCTGAAGACAGGGTTCTGCAGATCAAATCAGAGTGAGAAAACCACCACCTGGATGACTTCTTAGGCTCCTTCTAGTACCAAGATTCAGAGAACACAGAGGGCTTGAAAGGGTGTTCTCTGGGCTGTCTACTGCTCAATCAACAAACATCTATTCGAAGCCTACAGTGAGCAAAGCACTTGGGGAAAAGCTGTCGGGCCATTCATAACGAAGCCACAGTTCTGGGCCTGGAGGAACCTGGGCTCCAGAAGGGGAGCCAAACAGGGAATGACTGTATATAGGGATGAATGAAATTAGCACCGGGGGTGTAAACAGCCGGACCATGGAATACTGCAAGACAGGATAATTCCTGGGACTGAGGGCTTCTTGGAGAGGAAACCATTGTGCAGAGTGTGGATGAAGGAGCATGGTTTGATCTGGTCAAGTCTAGGAGGAAAGCTATTTCCAGTAGGCAGAAGAGCAATATGAGGTACTTAGAGGAAAAAAGAAACCCTAGGCAGGCAGATAAAACCAGAAGCAGGTCCAGTTGTGACCCTGCCATAAACTCCCCTTTGCCAGGTGTCACACTGAGGACACACATGATCTCATTTCACTGTCACAAGCCCCATCTGAGATGGCTACCACCATGACCATGAGCTGAGTGTGGATAAGAACTGGAGGCTTCGAGAGCTGACGTGTCTAAGGTTGCACCGGATGATGTGCACAGCGGGCAGCCCCAGGGGATGTCCAGTGGCTTGACCTTTAGGCTTAGCCTGCTTGCTGAGGTAATAAGCCCTGCACCACCCACATCCTACAGAAGTCCAGGAAAGAAGGAGCCTTGGAGGGGAGTGAGATGAGAGGCAGGCGAAGCACTCACCTCTGGAAGGAGGCCATGCGGTCTTTCAGAGCCTGCACAAAGGGGAGGATCCAGTGGTGGCGCAGAACCACGCTCTGGGACAGGCTGAGGTGGAACTCCTCCATCCTCACCAGGCGCGGGATGCAGGTCTGGGCGTGGGGCAGCAACATGTCAAGCAGGTCCAAGAACTCCTCCCCAGCTTCATCTGGAAAAGAGAGTGGAGAGGGTGGGCTGTTCTCTTAGTCAAGGAGGCATGGCTGAATGAAGAAGCCCAGAAGGCAGAGAGAGGTTCTTTTTACTCGAGGTTTTGGAAAAAAATTACCTTAAGAACAGCCTAATAACACTTTAAAGTTCTGGTTATAGAAGTAACAATTGCTCATTGTCAAGAATTCAAGTACAAAAGCAGTATGTAAAGGAGAAAGCAGAGGCTCCTGAAATCTTATCACCTAGAGCAGATCAAACTGTTTTGATCACACAGCCCATTAGTAAAACAAGTTTGAACATATCTCCAATAAACGTATTTGTTTATAAATTACAAATGCATGCTACTCTGTAAAATTATGTTACAAAATGTGTACTTTCAAAAAAAAATGTTTTTAAAGATGCGATAAAAATAAGTACAGTCATGCATCTCTTAATGTCCACACTACTTCTGTGAAACACGACGTTATGTGACTTGGATGTTGGGCGAACACTACTTAGCAAAGCTATCTGGGATAACTTTTGTTTCGGTTCCAAATGGATACTTCCCCTTTGCCTCTTGCTGCTACTATCACCAGCACTGGTTTTACTGTGTTTAGGAGCCACGAGGCACTTCACAGTAATATTTTCGAAAGAAAATTAAACAGAGAGATCACGCTGCAACACTCGAGACGTGTGATACATGAGATTGGATGCTGCTGCCTACAAGTCGAAGCATACACTGTTATATGGTAAACTTATTTGTAAGTAGGGAAAGTTCACATTAAAATAATGATAGAAGGTACAGTACAGGACATACATAAGCCAGTAACAGATGTTTATCATGACTATCAAGATGTATGTTATAGGTTATACATGTACTGTACCATTATACGCCTAGCAGTGCGATCGCTTTGTATATAAGAGATGTGAGATACACGTGTTGCGTGCAGGAAGTTGTCGTGTTTGCTATGTCTGATTGTGTCCACTATGTCCTGTTCTCGGATGGGGATTTCTCAACTCTGTTATAACCTTCTGGGATCACGGACGTATATGCGGTTGCATATTGCCTGAAAAGACACTATATAGCACATGGCTGTACATGTAGAAGTTCTATTACTTTTCTTCCTATACCTTAATGGATCACCTAGACCCACCCAGGGAATATACACCCACTTTCAAGACCACTAGCCTAGAGATAAAGACTGACAAAAACGTAGGTGTATCTTTCCCCAGCTCCTTCTCAGTGCATGCTAACGTATATATTTCATTTGTTTAAAAAAACAAGAGCACAGCGCTCAAACTGCTCTGCAGCTAGGTTTCTTCATATAACACGACATGCAGGACATCCTTCCACATCAGTACAAAGAGTTCGAACTCGTTTTTTTACAGCTCCATGTTGTTGTTGTTAGGTGCTGTTCAGTCGATTTCAACTCATGGTGGCCCCATGTGACAGAGTAGAACTGCCCCACAGGGTGTTCTAGGCTGTAATCTTCATGGGAAAGGACCCTGGTGGCACAGTGGTTAAGCGCTTGGCTGTTAATGGAAAGGTCAGCAGTTCAGACCCATCAGCCACTCCGTGGGAGAAAGATGTGGCAGTCTGCTTCTGTAAAGATCACAGCCTTGGAAACCCCATGTGGCAGTTCTACTCTGTCCTATAGGGTTGCTGTTAAGTGGGGATGGACTTGACGGCAATGTGCAATCTTCACGGGAGCAAACTGGCAGGTGGATTCAAACCACCAACCTTTTGGTTAGCAGCACAGCACTTAACCATTGTACCACCAGGGCTCCTACAGTTCCACAGTAATCCACTATGATTCACCACATCTCTTTCATCAGAACCTTATTGACAGACACTTAGAACGCTCACAGGGCACATAAACGTGAGTGGCCCAGTTGCCCCGCTCATGGGGGAAGGTGCGCACCCGCCCCCCGTGTTTTGCACCGTCATCCTCAGGACCCTCCTCAGTGCTTGGGAACATGTTCAGCACACTGTCAGGCACTGGCAACCTCTGGCTGGGAAGGGGGGTCTGGTCACTGCAATTGAAAAAGAGAACATAAGTACATTTACTGTCCTAGCATTCTCTACCTCTGTACATAGAAGAACTTGTAACCCCTTATACATGCTGACTCTGAGCATCTATTTCCAACCAGGTACTTGAAGTAGGAGCCCTGGTGGCACAGTGGTTAAGAGCTTGGCTGCTAACTGAAAGGTCAGTGGTTCAAATCCACCAGGCACTCCATGGGAGAAAGATGTGGCAGTTTGTTTCTGTAAAGATTTACAGCCTTGGAAACCCTACAGGGCAGTTCTACCCTGTCCTATAGGGTTGCTATGAATCAGAATCAACTCAGTGACAACAGGTTTGGTTTTTTTTACAGCTCCATGTTGTCGTTAGGTGCCGTTAAGGCGATTTCAACTCCTGGTGGCCCCATGTGACACAGTATTTACTTGAAATAGCTTCTGGCTGCTGTTGTTAGGTGCTGTTAAGTCTACTCCTGCTTATAGTGAGCCCACGGGAGAGAGAACTGCTCCATAGAATTTTCTAGGTTGTAATCTTTATAAGAGCAGATCATCAGGTCTTTCTCCAGCGGAGCAGCTGGATGCTTCAAACTGCCAACCTTTCGGTCAGCAGCTGAGCACATAATCGTTGCGCCACCAGGGCTCCTGAAGTAGCTTTTAGATAACCACAAAGCTCTTTCCCCAGTATTGTTTCACTGGTGTCTCCCAACAGACCTTAGCAGGGTGCAGAGACAGCCCCAACAGGAAACAACTGGGCAGGTGGACGGTCTGGTTCAGAGGTCATGTTTCCTAGCTGGACAGGCATGGGCTGAGTACCACCTCCTAGCTCCCTGGTCTTGGGCAAATCATGTCCCCTTTCTGGACCTCAGTTTCCTAATCTGTAGGGTGTACTTCTAACTGTAGAGTTATTGTGAGATCAACTGAGATACTGCTTGTAAACCACTCAGCAAGCATAAGGCCTGGCACTTAAGACCCTAAGTACCACGAAGTAAGAGACTTGGATGGTTTTGTTCACTGCTGAGTCCCCAGTCCCCGGCCTGATGCAGCATGGATGCTCAGTGAATATTTACTGGAAGAATGAATAACTAGCTTTCCATAAGCTTTAGCTATTATTATTGCAATTGTGTTCAAATGAGGAAACAGACCTAGCTAGGAGACGGGTTGAGCCAGCGGCAGAGGTTGGACACGAACCTACGTTTCTGGCCTGCCACACCTGGCCTGGCCGGGTGGGGGCACTTTGGAGCCTTATCGAGGGGTGCCCTCTAGATCTTTCTTTCCCCCTGCGCCTCCTTTCCCGGCGAGCCGCCCTGTTCCCTGCCCCCTCCCCCAAGTCCGGGTCTTGAGCTAATCCGCACCTTCCAAAGGGAGACTTCCTCGGACTTACCGACGGCCCCCTCCAGCCCCCGGTCTGGCCGGAGCCCTGGCCCCGGCCTCTGCCTCATCCTCGGACCCGCTGCTGCTGTAGCCCACGAGGGCCACCGCATTCATGTAGCCTCCGCCGAGAAAGCAGGGCCTGTCAAACAGCAGCCCCGCGCCCCGAGTTCCGCTGCACCGGAAGTGCCCTCGCTGAGGCGAGGCCTGGATTAGCACCTCCTCGGGGCGGGGCCGGGAGGGGCGGGCCGGGGCTGAGGGGGCGGGACCCCGCAAGACGTTAGTAAAGATGCTGAGATCTGAGACCACGCTGCCTGCATGCAGGCTGCAGCTTGAGTTGCTCCCCGGAACCCCCAACCCTCGTGTGCCCATTTCACAGATCGCCCTGAGCCCTGATCTCTCTGTCCACTGCCTTGTCCGCAGCTACCCAGGACCAGACTTCTCAGCCATAGATGGTCCCTGGATTAGCGCACTAGACCTGGCGGAGATCCCTGTCCTCTCGGCTCGGCCAGGATCAGAGGTCCCGGAGCCTCCTCCTCAAGCCGGGCCCAAGTCCGAGCCCCGGGGCCCCCATCCCTAGGGGTTAAGCTGAGCGGTCAGGGGCGGGTCAGTCTCAGAAGATCAGAGGGCCTAGGAGGCCACTCCTCTCAAGTGCAGGAGTCTGGCCAGGGGCCAGACCACCGAAGCCCACTCCCCTAAGACCTAACGGCATGGTCGGAAGCGGAACGCCTCCCTCGGTCGGCTGAGGCTGGTCTACCCGGCCGACTCGAGGACCGCCCCGCGCGCCCTGCGTGTCCGCCCGGCCCGGCCGCGGGGTCCCCGGCAGGG